TTCAAAAACGCTACTGTCCGCTGATATAAAACACGCTCGCTCGAGCGAAGCCTTTGTCGCTCGAGCGACCAGACACAGAAAACTCTCGCTCGAGCCAAGAAGTTCTCGCTCGAGCCAAAAACTCAGAAGTGCGCTCGAGCGAAAGAATGCTCGCTCGAGCCAACAACTCAAACCCTCAGGTCTGCAACCAGAAGCACGCTTGAGCGAAGAAAGCTCGCTCGAGCCAAGAAATGCAACTCTCAGGTCCAGAACCAGATGCAATCGCTCGCTCGAGCGAAGCCACTCTGGCTCGATCCACCAGACACGAACTCAACTCTCGCTCGAGCGACCAACTCCTCACTCGAGCAAAGGTCCAAAAATCTAGGCAGCAACACTAGGCTCCCAAACACAACCAACCTATAACAAACCTGCCCAACACATCCTATAACTCAATACACAAAGTAAAAAGGATGCAAACAAGAAAATAAACAACTACCAACATCCACGGACACATGTCCGGATCACTGTACAACAAGGGTAAACCCGGGATCGCTATAGATATGCTAGGGGCTTATGATGGAAAGTACAATATTACCCAAACAAAAATATGTATAAATTCTAAATTTAACACTATGTTTTTATTTTGAATATGAATCATAATATGATTTTATTTGACTAAAATTATGTCCAAAATTGTAATTTGCCTAATCTTGATTTGGAGTTCATTAAAAAAATATTTAAATATTGGTTGTCATATTTTGTTTTTTTGGTTTTGACTGATATGATTTTATTCTGTTTCACAGTCTAAAATTATTCCCTCATAACCACTTTAAATTTAGATTGCAATTTCCCGATCATCAATCCTCAATTGCCTTCCTTTGGAATTAAGCCTCTTGGGTTTTAGGAAATTATATCAATTTCTACATGATTCCTAGTTATAATATTTGAATATGGAAAAATCACTATTATAATTTCTTCTAAAACCTCAAAAATATTGAGCAATCCCTATTATAGGAGGTCACAGATCAACTCCCATAACCTTACCATTATGAAAATGTTAACTTGCCCCTACCCAAAACATCTTAGGAAACTTCTTGGAAGTTCAATCCCAACCATTGATCCAATTTTAAAACTACATTAATTGATGGACTATGCATGCTAGCTGGAGTTGTTACTAGCAATTAACGAATTACAACTTAAAGCTCAATGTTCTCCACTTTAGTGCTATATTTATTAGGGGCCAATCTTGCTATATCAATGTCAAGAACACAAAAACTAACATAAATTATTTAATGTTCTAGGAGACAAAAGGTTGAGTGTTAATTTGTAAATGGAATAAAGCAATCATCCAAAAACTAAACACATAATGAAATATAGATATCATATAACGGGTGAGATCCTAACGATGGATTTAGGGGGTGTGGAGGGAGGCGACCGCACCCAAAAAATTTAGAAAATATCATATATTATGTTAGAAAATTTAAAATAATAAGGATTTACACCTCCAAATATATGTGAGATCTACCTTTTATGAGATATGTGTATCTCATTTTTTGTTTTGTTTAGTCAAGCCTTCACGCCATGTTATGTGGCAGCTTTGTCTAGCATAAATTAAAAAATTGTAATTCAAATGTGTGATCAAGGTTTGATCCCAAGACTTTGAGTTTCATTAAGAACTAATCTTACCACTTAGGTAACATACATATTGTGATATTAAATTCTTTATTATTTATTTTTTTCTTACTTATCTGAATTGCACACGCATTGCGTGTGTCACTTGCCAATCATTATTTACATGATTTATCATTTCTAATAAACAAATCTGTACATACATATATATATATACATATATATATTTATTTATTTTGAACATTTGGATATAAATTTAGAAAGACTGAGGGAAATAAAAAAAAATTTTAATTTATATTTTATTGACATTGCTCTTACATTTTTTTTTCAAAAAATCTTTACTTAAATTTATAATCCGTACATAAAATAAAATTTTGGCTCATCAATATGAGAAACATGTCTCATCAATCATCACTGACGTTGAATTTCAATATACAAGCCTACTTCATTCTGTTATTAAGCAAGATGCCAAAATGAATCTTTGCAGGTTTCTTTTCCAAGGCTGGAGACACTAATTCTCAATAATTGTGTAAACTCAAAGGAGATACATCCTTGGAATGTTCAAGTTGGCAAAATAAGTTTAAAATTCTTGGACGTAGCGAATCTGAACAAATTAATTGTGAGAAATTGTAGTGAGGTGGCAGAGGTTTTTCAACTTGAGGAGCTAAATGTTAGAGAAGGACAACATGTTAGGCCATTAATTGAAGTAAGAATGATGGAATTGGATGCGTTACCTCAGTTGACATGTTTGTGGAACAAGGATCCCCATGGAATTCTGGGCCTTCAAATCCTACAATACCTAACAATTAAGAAATGTTCCCTCTTGAGAAATCTATTCACATGTTCCACAGCCATGGCTCTTCAACAACTTAAAGTACTTTATTTGGAGTCTTGTCCGGTGATGGAAGAAGTTATTGCAGCAACAGAGGATGGGCTCAAGGAAGTGATTGATGATGTGATTGAATTCCCAAAGTTGGAGTGGCTAATATTGAAAGATCTACCAAACCTCAACAGTTTCTGTAATGCGAAATATAATTTTAATTTGCCATCATTGCAAAGAGTTGTTTTGAAGAGGTGTTCGAATATGCACAACTTTACTTTTGGACAAGTACGCATGTCACAGATATTTGTAAGTACAAATGGCAATGATGGCCTTCAAATAGAAGATCTCAATAAGTATTTAAAGGAACGACTTCTTTTGAAAGGAGAGGTAGACTTTCTTTTTCAACTTGATCTACGGTTAATTATTTTTGTCAGTTGATGAAATCTTTTATCTTTGAATATTTACCAGAGACTACTCAACTGGAGTGCTTCATATGTATTTTTTGTTTATATGTATTTTACTTTCTTTTCTTTTAGGAATGTGTAACCGTGGATGAAAATGATCACGGCTGTGACGAAGTACGGTTCTCCTACCTTGAACGGCTATAGGAGTAAAGTAAGTTGATCATCCTTTATTATTAATATATATGTATAAATTTCATAATATTTATAGGAAAATTTTATAATAAACACGTTAAACATCCAGTTATGATTTATCAACTGAATATAATAAGTTGATCCTCCTTTATCAAAAAATAAAAAATAAAACAAAAGGCAAATTACGACAGTGGTCCCTATGTTTTACTTCTTGTGTCATTTTGGTCTCTACACTTTCAATTAGCTCAATTTTAATTCCTAATTTTAGATTTTATTTTAATTTGTCCAATTAATAATATTGTTAGTTTTTTTAAGGAAAATTATCACTAAATTGATTGAGGTTAACTAACTGAGTTGAATAAGTTTATAATTTTACCCTTAAAAATATAGCACGTGACACGTACATGCTTATTTTTTACAAAAAAAAATGCTAAGTGTTGTAATCAATTGGATCAAATTGAAACAAAATCATAAATTCAGGGTCAAAATCAAGCGAATTGAAAGTACAAAGACTAAAATGACACAAGGGGTAAAGTACAGGGACTACTGTCATAATTTGTCCAAAATATATAGAGAGAGAGTAATGCTACCATATACAAGTTATGTCATTTGTGAGTTTGATTGACATAACTCAATAGTATGAGAATCATAACAAATAATAATAATAATAATTTGAGTTATAACTAAGCATCACATGAGGTATAACCAAACAACTCTTGAATCATAACAAAAATGATCTCATAACCAATATCACAATGTGTCGTAATTAACAACACAAGCAGGCATAACCAAAGACGCAAAAGTGTAAACCAAAGCATAGAATTTCCCTATATTGTATATATACATATCTCATAATATTTATAAGGGAATTCTATATAACACTTTAAAAAATGATGTATTATATGCTTGACTTTTTGTAGTCTTTAGTTATAACTCATTTAGTTATAATTACTTATAGATGTTATCTTTATTTTGGTATAATCGAAGAAATCTTTGAAAATAATACCTCAAGTGATATTTGATATGATGCATTTGTGTTGGTTCTAAACTTGTAATGCTGCTATAATTAGTATAACTTACCTGTATTATTAATTGGGTTAACCGGAAATTTATGTTATATCTAAAGTGAGATTTAA